GAATTTGATCCTACATGGTAGGAAGCAACTTCCTTAAGTACTAAAATTATGGAGTTAATGTCTGATACTTCTGATTCTCAGGGGTTATCAAACATCAGTTAATCTTTCAGATATTACAAGTATCTTTTAGGAATTCTTATTTGAAAAATATAGTGGCTTGGAACTGTTACATATCAAGAACTACAAATACCTAGCCCCATACCCCTTATACTCTTAAAAGTAAGCACTCATGCAGAGTAAAGTATATTCCAAGTCACAACCAATGAGAACAGGCTTACGATCAGAGCACAGAACATCTGGTTTTCAAACAGTGTTTTCTATATTAGGATACTTAATCCAACATATCACTGAACTACTGTAAAAGTTCTGAGAATTTGAGCTAAGAGTACATAATTGCCACTTTAGCTCTATGAATGCCTATTATGAGGCTGATAGTTTAACTTATCTCCCCATTTCTCATCATTCTCATTTCTTCTAAATCTAGAGGCCAAGACCCTATCGATGTTATAATAACCAAGAATCAAGTAAGTGTCTTCATGAAATATCTCACCCAGTTTCTTATCTCAGCCTATCCCTACTTTCATGCTGAGAGGCATAATGGTACTGTGATAAGCAAAATGTACTTGTAGAATGAGATTATGAGTTAAATAACTGAACGAGCCATGTGGCTTGTATATTGTTATTGGCAGCAGATGTACCAAGTCCTAGTCAAACTTTTCACAAATTTGGATCACTGGTGATGAGGAAGATTAATGGGCGTGCAGATCTACGAAAAAGCAGTTACTTTGAAAAAAGCAATCCCTCTGGTGGTTAATCAGACATACTCTCTTAAAAAAAAAGGGGGGGGAACATTCTAATAAAAATTCTTCACCTGTGGATAGTCCCCATTATGCTCTACCCACTACATGACCTTGCATCTGACCCAATTCCTAAAACCTCAAGTGATCTCACTTTAAGTAGCTCAAAAGGCAAGACGTTCCTTGTGTACAAACACCGACAAAGCACATCTCACTGGCATGCATGTCAGTGAAATATCATCTTTTAGCTTGCTTATACCTTTTATAAACTTTCATTCCGCAAATGAGTGCCAACTAAATACCAAGAACTTTGATAGGTTCTAAACCTTCGAAGGTGAATTAGGTAGTTAGTTCTCTGCCTCTAAGAATGTCATAACTTAGTAAAGAATATCCCAGTGGATAAAAAGTGCATAAAAAGCTAAAATATAGAAAGTAGTAGGAATAATGTAAGAAGAAATACATGAAATTCATATGGACCAATTATCTACAGTTGTAGGTTATCAAGGAAAGCTTCACTTAAAAAGTAGCTCTTGAATATGTGGCAATAGGGCAACATTCCAGATGGTGGGAAAAATATGAATAAAAACAAAGAACTGAGAAAACACAGAGCTTGTAGCAGGGAGCCATGATAATTTTAGTGTGACTGCACCAAACATACTTGAAGAGAAAAAGGAGGTTTGGAAAGAGTTTGATGGGCTCAGGAAGGTACTGAATCAGAGGCAAAAAGTCTAAATGCTTTATTTCTGTATATAAATGTAATAATATACTCTTTTAAAACATTTTTGGAATGACAGACACTATACAGCATCATTCTACAAACTAACACCACCAAATATCTGAGTGCTTCCTAAACATTTAGCATCATTTTAAGCACTTTACATGTATCAACTCATTTAATACTAATCTCAACGTTGTCAGGTCAAAAATCCTCGTTTTACAAATGGGGCTCAGAAGTTAAGAAATCTGACCCAAACCACCCCTTCCCACAAAAAGCCTGACTGTACCTACACATTCTAAAGCTGGAGGTATCTTTTTTAATATCCTTGAATAATTTTTAAAGCTATTATTCTAATGGGGAGCATGAAGAAGACCCACACCCTATAACTCAAATAACTTAATCTTTGAAAAATAAAAGGTACCAGAGGCAAGGGATTAATACGAGAAGCAATTTAAAAAAACATACATATAATCACATAGTCATTAAAAAACTAACAATGCTGACAACTAATGCACAAACATTTCTGAATGTATTAATTACTTTTTCTCAATCTATAAATAGATTATGTCCTTGTAACTCAAAGCTAGCACGAAGACAGGAAAACTTTTTTACATTTATTTAAATGAGATCAGAAAGTCCTGACACATGTAACAAAGTAGCTCGAATTTCATAAGCTCATATAGCATCCCAAAAGGCTTAGCTTCTATGAAAACATTAAAAATCCGAATCAAAAATAAAAAAATTAATATTATGATTGGTACCTAACAGAGCACTTAAAAATCTTTTTTCTAAAACAAATTTGTAACTTTTCCCTTGCTAAATGACAGAAAACACTTTTAAAGCCCTAGGAAAATAGAGGAGAGGCCAATGGAGATTAACTAGTTAAATTAAGCTCTTCCTCTTGAAGAAAACTCAAAAGTTAGCCTATTCTACATTTTGCTATGTCTAATTGCCAACGTCCTCCCTTAAACTGAACACTTACACTTCATCTGTTGAAATAAAAGTTGTTAACCAAAACAAGACAATTAACATTCTTAGATTTCATATATTTAAAGAATATTGACTAAACATTCATGTTGCACAGAATTATGTTACCTCTCAATGTTGTTAAAATCAAAATAAAATGAAACACAAAACTTAGTCCTCTGAGTAAGAAGATGGAAAAATATTTCACCCCACATATCTGAATAATTTAAAAACATACATATATAAGACACTCTCTTAGAACTATATTTTTAAATCATAAAAAACTAACCTTCCCTTAATTTAGGTGGAGAATCATCTGGTTTCTCTACACTTACTTTACTTATTAACCCACTTAAACTTTTCAAGTTGTACTTTAAAAATCAGAAATAAGAAAGCCCTGAATGAAACGGAAGGTCAAAACACAGAAAATATGAGGTCAAGTGTATGTCTTGTCCAGATTAAGGGCCTCACAGGCACTTTGAGAAAGGAAAGAATAGATGTGTACTGGACATTCAAGCCCTCATTAGCATGTTTAAAACTGATTTCATCTTCTTTAACAAACAGTGGCTTCTCCTGACTTTCAGTATTAGTTAATGGTATGATCTATTTCCTGCTCTTTAAAATCTTGAGGGTTTTGTCTTCTTTCTTTACCTCTATAATCACTTAAGAGATGTAACGCTGTCAACTTTTTTTCTTCACAATCTCTTACCTATTCCTCTCTCTCCAGGGCCTACTCTAGTTTCATCTCCTGCTGACACCACTGCAACAGTATCTTAATTGTCTCCCACCTCCAATTCTTTTGTCATTTCTTCAGTCACACTGGACACTGTTTCCAAATAATTTTGTAATACATTTTGTGTACATTACAACCCTCTGTGTCTGTTCAAAAACCTTCAGCAAAAATAACTAAAATTAAAAGTCTATATGGAAAAATATCTGCAACAAATTATGATTAAATAGTATATAATAAACTCAAAGAATTAAAAAATAAAATATCAACACTCATATATAAATGGACAAATCTTGACTAGGCAACTCATCTTTTACTAATAAGTGAGATTATAGAAAAAAGTCTCATCTGACCAGTTAACAAAAATATTACACAGAAAAAAAGAGCTCAATATATTTTTCACCTATTAAATTAGCAAAAATGATTACAGATTACCCAATGCTGGCTGTTAAACTCTCAGAGATGGTGACAGTATAACTCTTTTGGAAAACAACATGGCAATGTTTCAAGAATCATAAAAATGTTTACACAATGATCTTTTAAATCAATCTTAAAAGAACAGTCCAAAAGACAGAAAATATTGTATGCACATACATGATAATTGCAGCACAATATTGAAGAACTAAAAACTAAACGGGCAGGAAATAGAAAAATGCAGTTAAAGATAAAAGTTTGATGGAATATTTTCAGACATTAATTAAAATTATTATGGAAATTGTGTAGTCATATTGAATGCTGTTACAATGTTAAAGGATGAAGAAAGAATATACATACAGACAAGGAAGAAGGAAATTTTAAAAATCTAATGTTGGGGTAGGATTAAAGTGATTGGTTCCAATGTGATTTGTAAAGTTTGAAAATAAAACAAAACAAAAATTAATTGTCATTTTTTCCAAACATTCGGCTTTCAAGGCTCTCTAGAGGTTGCCAAACCTGTACAGAGGACAAGCACCCCACACAAGTCTGATGTTCAGCTAATTTTAGAAACACTGATATGTTGGTCTTACAATTTTCCCAATGTAATCTTTAGTCAGTCATCCTCTCCTAACTGGTTTACTCACTGTCCCAAACTTAGCTTCTCTTATATAACTGCATTCTTGATCACAACATTCCATCCACTTAGAATATCTTTTCTTCTAATTTTACAGATTACATCTCTCTAACTTTGAAAATCCTTCGACTAAATAAACTCCTGTTTTTCATTATAAAATAATGTCTTCTTATAAATAATTTAGGTTGATTGCATAATAAACTTTTCACAAATCTATTATTCTTGAGCCATGATTTAAATCTTTAGTTATCCAAATCGATTCTTCTTAAATAACTTTTTATTTACTTTTCACATGTTTAATTATGTTCTTCCTTTTACTGACAATAAATTCCTTGAGCACAGATCCTTGCCGTGTAGGAATGCTACCAGGTAACCTAGATCAGCCTGAATCCAAATCCTAAAATATGCTGTCATTTTAGTTAGACACATATATGAATGAAATCCAGTATCTATGACACAATATGGCCATAAAATCAGAAGTGACATCTAATAGGGCAAAAGACATACAGAGACTATAAAGGATGCTTTGGTTACAAATATGTACTTTGTAACTTTCCAAAAAAAAAAAATGAAATTAGGAAAGCAGCTACATTCAACACAACACTATTCTACTTCTCTACACAGATATTTACAGAAACAGCTGTACAATGGAACAAATTCCATTTCTCAAAAGAGACATATGTAATAGTAACATAGCTGATCTTGATTATTACAGAATAGTTAAGTAAAACTGCTTACCAGAAACAGAATTTTCAATAGATAGCAAATCCAAGGCTTTTAAAACTGAAAAACCTTCCTTCAGTTTTCCATAAAATGAGGATCACTCTGGAAGATAAAGACTTATTTTAGATTTCAGTATGCTATAGTCCACATACTCAAAACACAGACTGTTTTAAAATTTCCATTACCCCTTTTCCCATTTAGAGAAAAAAAGTGCAGCTCACTGCCAGTGTTAATTTAACATCACGTGTAGGAATGCTACGTTTTCTAAAATTTGACATTTTCAGCGATAGAGAATTACTATATTTTGTAAATGGAAATATCACTACTAAAACCAGAATGCTATAAATAGAATGATGTCATTTGTTTCCAAAGACTATCCATACACTAGAGCAATGCAAAAATAATAATAAAAGTGAGATATTTCACGGCAAACTTTAGGGGTAAGGTTAGGACTATATCTACGAGTTATTTCAGGGTAAACGCTGCAGCCGCAAGCACCATCGGTGAGTATTCTTGGGACAAATGGGAAATGGGTTAAAAAAAAAATTTGCTTCACTTCTAAACACTTTCACTGATGAGATCTCTCTCTACATGTCAAGTTATCTTACCATTGGTAAAATAATAAATCAGGAAAATGTTCAGTGTTCCATGATTAAGAATACAGAAATGGGAACCACATGAATGGGTAAACAAATCCTTAGGAATGTTCTAATTTTGAGATTTCAGTCTAAAATACCACATTGGGAAGCTAATTATATAGCTGCATTGGAACCCCTGACCAAATAAATAAAACATTTTGATTTCAAAATAGGTTTCTGTCATAGAAACATTATTAAAATTTGACAATTCTGGTTTTGTAGGAAACATTCTGTTAATTTTGGCCCATTGAAATAGTTTACAAAAATAATTCTATCATAATTTTCCTTTATTCATACCTGAGATGATCTAGCAATGCTTTATTCATTTAGTTTCCCTCCATTAACATATCATATAGTCTTAAAAAAAAAAAAAACTAAGAAAATATAATCCTGAATAAATGTTCTTAATGAGTTCTTTAAAACTACATTAGCAACTACAAATAAATTTAGTATGAAATCAAATATTTGGAACACAAAAATAATTCTGAAGGTTAAGACAGCTTCTGTGGAGCCTCATGAGTTCTCAGAAAAAATTATTGTTAAAGAAAACATATGTTAGCTTATTTTACCTATTTTGTATAAAAAGTGCATATTCATAAGAAATACTAACAAAGCATCTATCATGTATCAGGTAGGCAAATGTAATAGCAATTAAAATCTCTGTTGCTGCCCTCTGGAAGTAAAGTCTCAAACTGGGGAAGAGCCAAACAACTGCCAAGAGGCATATAAAGGTTCCTGTGAGGGCACAAAATCACCAAGAGCCTGCACATAAGGATGGAAAACATCAGAGAAGGCTACAGGGAAACCAAAAAAAAGTTAAATGCAACTATACCTTAAAAACAATTTGTTTTTCACAAACTTTAAATGTCACTGCTGTGTAGTAAAGTGTTTCACTGTACAAATGCCTATTATAGAATGAAAAATAAACTTAAAAAACAAAGCTAAAGAAAAAATAGAAAATGTAATAAAAGCAGAAATGACAATAAAAAGTGTAAGTGCAAGAAGAGCAAAAGCTTTCTGATGGACAACTGAATGGGATCAAAAGACTTAAACATAATCTCTTTGGCCTTATAGTTCCACTTCTGGGAATTTATCCTAAAGAAATAAGTGAAGGAAGATCTAGATGCCCAGAAATTTTAGCCATAGATGTCACTTCTTATGCAAAATCTTGTAAATTATACACAAGGATAGTCAATCAAACATATCATTGCTATTAAGAGAAAAATCAAGAGATCAAGTTATATGAATTATGATATGTCTATCTTATAGAACACTATGCAGCCAAGAAAAATGCTTTAAGAACAAAATATTTCTTATGTTCCCAATGTTTTCTATATATACAAAAACATAGGTGACAAAATGAGTATGATTCAAATGACCTTTACTGTGTAAAACAAAACCAATGAAAAAGAGAAACCCCTTTGTATGAAACATAAGCTCAGTATAAAATGTAATTACCTTTTGGTAGAGGGAATAGAAGAGATTTTTGTGTTCTACTCCTGGCTTTTCAGTAATCTCCCAATGCCCACTGATACGTTATTTTGATCAGACAATAATTGAAAGTTTCATAGTAGAATGATAGGTAATTACCCCCTGGGAAGTTCAGCAGTATTGTTTCTAATTTCTTTAAGGGAAAAAACCCCACTTCCCTTCTAAACTTATTGAAATAGTTTTTCTAAATGCCAAATTTCTAAATAGGAAGAAAAAAATTCACAAAAATGTTCATATTATTTCATGATAAAAACATTAAGTACTTAAGTCCAGAAATGGGACCAGTATGAATGGATAAAGTCATATGTCCTAAGTTTGAGATTTCATTCTAAAATATCACATTAGGAAGCTAATTACACAGATTCACTTGAACCTTTGACCAAACGAAACATCTTTCAACTATGGTTCTTCCATTTTGCCATTAATGGCTCTACTTTACTGGTCCACAAAAAACTTTTCCAGGTGTTCTCCTCAATTCTAAAGATATTTACAGATGTAAGAACTCACCTCAGAAATACTTCCAGGTAGGACCATGATCTGCATTTTCTCTTTCCAGCCGGCGCTGAGCCATGGGCATCTAGACCCGGGGCAAGAGAAAGCCCTACCACAAGAAGTGAAAATATGAGCTGGGACGACCCGCTGACAACACTAAGATTGGTCCCCTGCCGCAGCTGCATACACACAGTCCGAGTCCGAGGAAACAACAAGAAGTAACGCGCATTGATTCTGGACGGGAACTTCTGAGGCTCCGGGCGTTGTATGCGCAAAGCAAGGATTACAGATGTTGTCTACAATGCATCCAACAATTAACTGGTCCGCATGAAGACCCTAGTAAGGAACTGCATCGTGCTCATTGACAGCACACCTTACCGACAGTGGTACAAATCCCACTATGCATTGCCCCTGGGCTGCAAGAAGCGGGCCAAGCGGACTCCTGAGGAGGAAGAGATTTTAAACAAAAAACGATGAAAGAAAATTCAGAAGAAATACGATGAAAGGAAAAAGAATGCCAAAATCAGCAGTCTTCTAGAGGAGCAGTTCCAGCAAGGCAAGCTTCTTGCATGCATCGCTTCAAGACCAGGTCAGTGTGGCTGAGCAGATGGCTACGCATTAAAGGGCAAGGAGCTGGAGTTCTATCTGAGGAAAATCAAGACCCGGAAAGGCAAATAAATCCTCCTTGTGTCTTAGCTCCTAGAGTGAAGGTGTTTATTGTGAAAAAAAGAAAAAAAGAAATACTTCCAGGTATTTGTCTCTGAGAGGTCGTTTTCTTCAGATCAACTGCCAGCAAAACCCAACAATTATTAAATCACTCAATCATTTTCTACTCTGGAACCTCAACAATACAGAGTAACAGAGTTCAAGACAAAGTATTAGGAGATAATTTTAAGAAGATATCCACATCAGTGCGACTAGATTACTCAATAAAAATGCTAATATACAGTTCATCTTATTAATAAGTAAATTTGAGAAAAATCACTTTATGAATGAAAAATTGAGTCTTTAGTTAAAATGTTCTCTTGAGTAAATTTAGTCAACGTAAATTATAGGCGATAGTTTCCATTTTCCCAATTATCTCATTCTTCATAATGACTTGCCAATTAATACTCTATTTCCACCATTTCAAACGTTTTTTACTTCACAGAACACAAGATTCTGCTAATAGAACAAGATCAATGGCTGCTTTGACAAGGTCCTGTCTGGGAGGTCCTTTTGTCAAGGTGTTTTCTGTCCCTGCGAAAACACTGTTACTTCCTTTCAAAAAGTAGCATAACCTCATGCAGCGTGGAACAGCTGCTTGTCTAAAGTCAAAGAGGCAGCCTCTGTTCAAGTGAATTCCTCAGCGTTCCGAAACCGGAGTTTATTTGCGTGAGGAGCACGCGTACACACCTCTCCCCACGCAGGATACGTCTACGTACCTTGCCTTTTCTATTTTAATTAAGAAGGCGCCCAGAGCCAGTGGCAGGTGCTTGGCTGAGAATATGACGAATTCCCGAAACGCACGTCCAAAGGGAGGAAGAACTGCTCGGAGAGAAGCCAGACAAACTCTAGAAAACCTCTCATGCTCTCGAGTGGAGTCCAAGGGATCAGCCCCGAGAAAGAGATGTGCCTGTCCCCTGCGCCTCTCGCTCCCTGGCGGCGGGAGAGGAAGCCTCGCCCCCTTTCATCCCGCCCCCCCATTCCCCACCCCGCCGCTGGGAGAACTTTGCCATGGCTGCCCTGTGGCCCCTTAACTTCCGGTGCCGGTGCTGCTAGAGCTGCGCCATCCCCCAGTCAATCGGACGACCATAGCCTCCAACTGACCTTTTTAAAAGACGCGCGACTCTTCTGACCTTCAGTAGGTGCTGCCTTGGAGGAAACCATAGATGGGTGCCGCCTTGAAAAGAATCTATGGGAGAAAAACTGTGCTCCTGACTCACCAGAAACGTGAAATGCGATAGAGCTGCGGCCACAGCTGCCCAGACAAAATGGCGCCGAGAAGCCGATTTAGCGCAGGCGCCTTGGAAAGACACTGCCCCGCCCCCGTGCAAGTCCTGGCCGCAGCTCCGGGTTCGGTTTCCATGGGACACTCCACTGCCAATCCTCGTGCGGGACTGCTCTTCCTGACCCTTCAATTTACCAATCAGTGCTCAATCAAGCACATCCGGAGTCGTCTCTTCCAATCAGTTTTCAGGACTTGCTTACTCAATACCTGATTCTCCAGTAATGTTAGCCTTCGGACACAGCCAATTACAAGTGGAAGATGTCCTACCTGCTGTTTTTCGCACCAATCCGTGAAGTTTCAGAGCTACATCCAATGAGGACGGCAGGTAGCGAGCTCCAATCCGAAGCTCTTCGGCGTCATGAGCAGCCAATAGGAGTTCGTGTAGAAGCGAGTCTGCTCAACAGCTTGTTATTTGGTGGATTGTGGCAGTAAATCGGGCGAGTGGGGAACCGGGCGCAGGAACTGCCGCCGCGGCCGGGAGTGGTGCTGCCCAGCCAGGGGCCCACGGGGCTCAGTGGGACAGAGGACTCGGGAGCTGACAGCGCGCACTTTACCCGCAGTTGGTAGGTGGGGAGGAGGGAAGCGGGGGACACTGAATGGACGAAGCAGCATAGCAGCTGCTGCTGCTGCCCGGGGTCCCGGTGCAGTTGGAAGCTTTGGAGGTGGAGAAGGAGATGCTGGGCAGACGGTGCGGCGAGCCCCGGCAAAGGGGCACGTCCCGGAGCAGCGGCAGCAAGTGCAGGGACCGCCGCTGCAGCCGCCTCCTCGGCCGCTTCCCCGGGAAAATGGCTGTGGGGCTGGCCGCGCCGCTAAGTTTGCTTCCGCGCCGCAGGGAGCGGGCTGCTTTAGGGAGCCGGCCCCCAACTCCGCGGCGCGTCCTCTCCGGTGGAGTCCGCAGCAGGACCTGGAGAGGCTGGGGGGCAGGTCCCTCTCTGGGCTGTACAAAAAGTTGAGGCGGACGCGGGAGGAGGCGGCGGCTGCCGCTGTGCGGCTCCCCTCCCCTCCCACACACTGTCCGGGCCACCTCCCCTCCTCCTCTCCGCCCCCCCGGCCCCCTCCCCCTGCGCGGGTCGCCCCTGGCTCTCGCGCCTCCAGCTGAAGGCCGCGGCCCCTGCCCCTTCGGGTGAAGAGGCGCTGCTTCTTTCTGACATGGTGCAGAGCGGAGGAAGGAGAGCAATGGCGCCGTGACACTCCGCTGCCGCCACCGCGGGCCCGGGGCGGGCCGAGGGGGCCGATCGGCGGAGGCGGGGCGCGGGCCGAAGTCGAGGTATCCGGGGGGCGGCGGAGCAAAGGCTCGGCGACCGCGCCTGTCGGGGACTCGGGGAAACCCAAACGGCGCCCTGTCCTTTTCTAGAGCGATCGGTCCTGGAGCTCCGAGTTGAGCATTTCGGGTCCAAGTGGAGAGCGAGGCGGGGGCGCGGTGGGCCGCTAGCGAACTCCAGGGCAGAACGGGCTGCCCCCCAGCTCCTGAGTCCTGGTTACCCTCCAAGAGGATCTTATCCTTTCGTTGGTGAGGGTTCTGCCGTCTCCCGTTGGGGTTTGTTTACTTTCTTTCCCTGGGTCGCTCCCCTATGTAGACTGATTCTATGCTTCTTTCCCTTCCCCATGGTTCTAGTGACGGAGAAGATAGCTCGTTGAGCTGGAACCCCACAGGTCACCAATAAAAATGAAGGTAAGTGAAGTCAGCGCTGCTCTGAACCTCGTGCCCTGGACACTGCCTGTCGTGAGGCTGCTGCTGTGGAATGTCATTTTATTTTTTTATTTTTTTTTGCTACTCAAAATTGATTCCTCTACTAAGCAGCGCTTTCTGAAAAGGAGATCGTATTGAATGAGTGAGAAATGATCATTGTGCCTAAATGCAGTCAGTTCGGCCCCTCTCCGAAGCGATAGCACTTTGGAAAGGCTGTGGCAGCCTTTCCATTGTTGTCCATTGGGCTAGTATTTTTAAGCACTTCCTGTGTTGGCAGCAACCTTTGCAGAAGTAAAGCTTTTGTCCTGCTTTGGTTCTTTGGGGAATTTTTTAAAATTTTTATTTTTCCCCAGTGCCAATGCGATTTGCTAAGGAAAGAATATGTGGATTGTGTAAGAGAGATATCATTTCTGCTGGGGATAAAGTGAAATTCTGTGGCTAAAATATTTGAAGGTGAATTGAAACTAATAGTGTAATTCAATTGTTATAATATTTTTAAACATATATTCAACCTAAAAATATATATATTCTTCTGAAGACAACTAATATTTAAACTTCGTATGTGATATTTAAAGGAAACTGAAGGTATAGCAATCAGTCTGTAGTGCTGTGGCATTAAGTATTGCAGGTCAGATACATACTTGCCAAAATATTTTTTTCAATTTGCATTTGTAAATGCACTGACTTTAAAAGATACTTGATCCCTTAGTCATTTACTGTTTCAATGTATTAAACTCTGAAATATATCATTTTCCCAAATTTTCTCTTGCTTTTCTCCTCAAAGTGACATATGTAACCTTCTTTAATGTTACTTGGGAAAACTGGAAAATGGAAATCATTTTGGACTTAAAAGTATTTGTTTTAAGTTACAATGTAACCTTTGCACTTGGCAACGTTAAATCAAGTTTGTATGGATACACTTAACTTTGAAAAAAATAGGTAAAATGACAGATTAGATAGGAATCATTCTGTTACTGTCGAGATTAAAATGAATCTTAGAATAAAATTTCTCACACCTTTCAATGTGTCATTCTTATCGTGGTCATTGGCTAAAAATAGTCTTTTCTCATTAAAGCTTATTATTTTTTTTACATTTACCAAGAAGATTAGTGTGGTAGACTAGGTAGGTATGGCTATAAGTCTTGAATCATCAGTTCATATCTCTGCATTCATCAGCTGAATTTAGACTTAAACATTTAAAATGCAGCTTTTAGCTAAGGATTTTTTTCAAACAATCTTATCAAAGGATTGGCTTCATTTATCTATACGTTACCTTTATGTAGCTATATTAATAAACATTTAATTATGTATTGTTAGTGTTAATTTTAATAGCAATATTTCTTTTAATTTGAAAAGAAAATTTTCTGGAGGCCATAATTGAATAACTTAAAGTTTTATGAGACATTTAATATGCATGTACTTATACTTTTCCAGTTTTTTCTTATTTTTAATAAATAAGTTGTAGAATTATTGAAACATTTTGTATCTGGAGAATAAAACATTATTATATTTCCCTACTGATACTTCCCAGTTACAGTATAAAATGTTTTGTGTTATCAGGATATAATTTATAAAAA